ATTTGTGGGGGGTAGGGATTGTGTGGGAAGGGGGTTGTGTGTGGGTATGGGCCTCCTGCCACATGCCCCACCACGGGCAGCAGCAGGTGGCAGGCCCTCAGGGAACTTGCGGCAGGCAGAGCACCCCGGCAGCATGTGGCTCTGGCTGAGTCCTAGAAGCTGCATGTGGCAGCACAGAGCCAGCCCAGTCAGCCTGCTGGCACGTGCCTTAGCCCTAAGCCATGTTAGCTCTGTGCCAACACGTGGGGCTCCCAGCACCGCAGGCAGGAATTGTGACATTGAGCCGGGCTAAGCCAGCCCCATGCCTCCACATGAGGCTTCTAGCAGTCCAGTGGGGAGCCCCATGTGGAGGCACAGAGCCTGCCTGGCCCAGCCCTAAGGTACACAGCTCCCAGCTGCAGTGCCGGGAACTCCACACACTGGCATGGAGCCAGTCCAGACTGGCTGGAAGGCATGCAGCTCCTGCCTGCACTGCTGGGAGCCCCATGTACTGGTAGAGAGCCAGCACGGCCTGGCCCGATGGTAGTGGCTCCTGGAAGGAGTACCAGGAGCTGCACATGTGCAATCAGGCCAGGTAGGCTCTGTGCCACCATGGATCCTCGCAGCTTCCAGGCATGCTGGGAGCCCCTCAGAGGTGGAAGAACAGAGCCAGCTTGGTCCAATGGCATGTGATCTCTGAAAGCCCTCATCTCCCACTGGCTTTCAGAGGGGCAGCCATGGGCCAGTAATGGAGAGGACCCCTGGGCTAGATAGAATGACCTGGCAGGCCATATTTTGTCTGCCCCTGTTCTACAGGGTCTTGGAGAAGTTCCAGAACACATCCAAGTTACACAATAAGAACCCAGTGACCCTGAAAAAACACTGTAAAATGCAGGAGGCGGTTAGGGCAACGGACAGACTGTCACCCATGGACATACTACTTCGCGACAACTGCCAGGTTGTGTGGGAATGTATTTTCCACAAGGACCTGCAGAAGGAACACGGACTTGACCTAGCAGGTAGCCCACTGGGCACTCCTTGTGTGGGTACTGAGACACAGACGGGGCAGAAAGGCCCATCAAACTGCCCCTGGCAAGCTTGCTGATAGAAGGAGGAAACAATTAACCACCTCCTCTGGAACTTCCCATATGCCAGGGAGGTGTGGAGGAGAGTAGTCATACTCCTTGTGATGGTGACTGGGGTTAAGACCCTGACCAGAGAGAGGTACTGTTTAGATACGTGACCAATCAGCAAGGCCTCTAGGTAGGAATGCCCTGTGGAAGACCAGGAACCTGCTCATGTATAGACACTCCAACCTCCCAGTCAAGGACTGCGTCAGAACGGGAGTGAGCGAGCTGAAGGTATACTACAGGAAGACAAAAGAAGATGATGGGGAGAGGATGGTGGAGGGTGCATGGAAGAGAAAAGACTGGCACAGACTGTTCAGAAACAAGATCCTCCCCCAGAGAAAATGACAACGACAGTGAGGAAGAGGACAATGATAGTGATGAAGAGGGGGTGAGCAATAAGGATGATGGGGAGGAAGGGGATGACAAAGACTATGTGGACTAAGGAGCAGGAAGGGAAGTAGAGGGATTGTGGGGGGGTGGGAGAGGAAGGGGAGAGTGGTGGGAAATGGAGGCAGTTTCACATGATTGTAATTGTTCAAGAAGACAGTGACGGGCATGTGGGTGTATGGCAGCGTGGTGTGGTTATTGTAATAGGGATGATGATGGTGTAACTGTAGATGTGCGTTTTGGGTTGTCACTGATATGGTTCACTTGACAAGACAGGTCCATAGAGGTATAGGTATTTATTTATACAGAAATATATATTTTGGCAAAAAAAAAGTTTGTACTACATATAAATAGGTACAAAAGTGCTACTTAAAAGTGTGTTTATGTAGTACCTGTATTAAAAAACTTGCAACAGTTTCAAAAAAGGTAGCATACACCAATTCTAGATTAACTAAGTGCACAGGTACTATATGTAAATTACTACAGCCACTTTTCATTTCAAGGTTATTGTTTTCAAATTTGCTCCTCACTTCCATGTGCTCAGGGACAGCAAGACCTGACAGAGTAAGGGGAGGGGGAAGGGGCTGCCAGGGAAAAGTTGCAGGGAAGGAGAGAGCAACAGGGCTATCTGACCCCCCAGATTTATTTTCCCTGCTGTAGCACTGGGAGGGGGGACAAATTCGTGGCAAATTTCCAGTAATTAAATTTTATACCTAGAAAATGATAACAAATTTATCAACTTTCCATATATAGAATCTAATTACCAGAGGGGGGGTTGTCTTATAATCAGGGTTATCTATTTGAGTAAATATGGTATTTCCTTTTGATACGCAATTCACACAAAAAAATAATTGGTCACTATTTTGTCATCCCTCTTCATTATACTGGCCCACAAAAACTTAATTATTTATAGAATGAGAAAGAAGCTCAAGTTATTCCACTCTTTTTCATGTTTGTTTCTCTTTAAGAAAAAAACAGTAGACCAGTCATGAATCATGATTGATTATGTCACTATAAGATTACAGTATCTCTAATTCTATCATGTTATAGATAGTTTCTAACTGGTTACTGAAGTTATTTTCTAACTGCTTATTGAAGTTGTAAACAGAGCTGGGTGGGAAAAAGTTCTCTTGTATGAAAATTTTTGAGATTTCAGTTTTTTCTTGTTCTGCATCTGGACAAAACTGAAATCTGAAATTTTTCAGAGCAGGAATTTTATTTTGGCTTTTCTTCATTCCCAGGAAGTGCCCTACTCACAACACCATTTGTTATTATAGAGTGGATCTCTCTCAGCCTATTCTGTTGGAGCTATTCAATTTTGAGTAATGAACTGGTCATTTACTGGCCACAGAAATACCAGATCTATAGCCCTGTAGTAGGGTAGTCATTTGAGATATAGGAAAAATGAGTCCCGGTCACTGCTCTGCCTGCGTACAGCAGGGGCTTGACTGTATTGTGAGAAAACCAAATTCAAGGACCTTAATAAATGGACAAGTCTAAGCCTCATGGTTGTAGATGGGGGTCAGTCTATCTCTAATGCTTAGATCAGACTTCCAACCTATACCTGAGAAAAATTCCCACAGGTTTTGTTAAAACTGATGCTCCTACTAGAATTTTTCATTTCAACAAAGTATCATTTTCCAATGAAAAAGTTTACTCAGAAAATCCCTGATTGCCTCTACTTTCAAGTAAAAATTCTGTAAGTTTCCCTGTGACCACCACACTAGAACTGGGTCTTTACAAAGGCCTCGAACGCAGACAGAGCAGAAGCCTTGTGAATCAAATCAAGGGTGTTTCATGCATAGGCACAGTACAGAGGAAGCCATGGAAACGTCTGAGTAAATAACTAACAAATGGGTAGGTAAGGCTGATACCACTGACAAAGTACTGGACTAAAGGGGACAATTCAGGGGCAGATCCAAAGGGGGTGCAGTGGCATGGTCACACCCCCTTTCAGACCATGTCATGGGAGCAGCAGCCAGTGTCTTTTTAAAGTCTCTGAGTCAGGTAAAAAACCTCTTTCTGTCCTCCCCTCCATTCTCAGCAGCATGCAATCCCTTCTCTCCCATTCCACTCCCCACCTCCAGCCCACCACTGCAACTGTTTCCTCTGTCTTCAGCTGCCCAGGGGTGGAAGTTGCTCCTGAGCTGTTCCTGCCCCACTCTACCTAGGTTTTGCAGGGAGCTGAGTTCAGCCCAGGAATGCAGCAGTGATGGTGAGTGGGTTCTTCCCCCATCTCCAGTCCCCCCCAGGTGTTCCCCTCAAGCTCGCGAACAGGCACAAGGGAGAATCTGCCTGCCACTGCTGCCCCAGCTGAGCCTAGCTCCCTGTGCAGCTTGGCTGAAGCAGGGCAGAAGTAGCTCTGGCTGCTGAATATGGAGGGAAGAGAGGGGATGCCAAGAGCAGGGTAGGGAAGTTTCTTACCTGATTCAGGTACTTTAAAAAGGTCAAAGGCTGCTGCTCCAATGGCATGGTTTGCCCATCCCAGTGAAAGACAGTGGGGAAGTTGGAAGTGAAGGTACAGCCACCCCTGCAGTGCCAGTCACTGCTCCACACCCCGCTTTACAAAATCTTGACTCTGCCCATGGGGCAATTCAGAACTAGATCAGAGCAGATAAAAAGTTATATATGGCTTAGAAGCCTGGACATGAAGCCTGAACCAAGGGTGCAGACAGAAGTGCAGCTCCCAAATGTAACTCCGAATGTGTCTGGCAAAGCATTCTGAGTTACAACACCTCAGACCAAAAAGAAGTTCACTGTTGGTTCCAGGGCTGAGGGGAATCTGAGCCTGTAGCCAAGTTCCCATAGCAATGGCCAGGCTCTCTGCCAGTGCTTGCTGTTTTCAGAATGGGAGAGGGGAAAGGCAGCAGACAGAGCTCATTCTTGGGGCTCCCCAGCTGATGCTGAAGCCCTCTTGAGGGGGCTAAAAACTCCCCAGACTGAACTCCCTCTGCTCCCTTTCACCCCTCCCATTCTGAAAACAGCCACAGGCTAGTAGCTCCCTAGATAAAAGTTACAAAAGACGCTACATTTTGAAATGTCTTCATCTGATCTCTCATGAAAGGAGGGGTCTGATTTTCACCAGATCACCCATTTTTTGCAGCTGTCTGAAGCCATGCACTTGTGCTTGGTCATAGCTATAAACTGCTTTCTGCGGCCAGATGAGGCAAAAATTGTCACTTCCATCTGTGCCTCAAATGGAGCAATTCGGAGGTGAGAGGGAAGGGCATGACCCAATCAAAAGATGGGCCAAGTACTTTAACAGCAGTTTTTTGTGTAATTTGGAGGGTGCTGAGGGTATTAGATGGGTAAAGGAGCAGGATGCCTCCATAACTGAGATTAGCAATGACAAGCATCTTAACATAGCTGTCTCCTTTCCTTTTTCTTAATTTATTCCCATCTAAATAATTAAAACAGGTATACATCATTTTTAAAATTATTGTATTTACTCGGTAAATTTGCTTACCAGCAGGTCTTGTGTTTGGTTGACGTGTGTAACCAACAATCCATTGTCAAGCTCCAAATCTGTTATTGTAACATTTTGCCGGGGTTGAAGACCTCTTTCTGAAAGTCCATTGGAGCCCCCGCTTACCCTACAGAGTAAGTCAGTAAGTTTTTTAATCCAATTGTCTCAACTGAATAATTGTCTGAACACTGAAAACACCATTGTTATGTTAGTCACTTATAAGACCTAAACATTTTGGCTTGCATATATTTGACAAGTAAGGACCCTTTTTTAGCATCCCAAATACAGTGTGTGTGTATATATATATATATATATATATATATATATGCTACTTAAGGAAAAAAAATATAAACTTACAATTCCATACAAGCGTATCTTTCATTTAAGAATTCCCCATTAAAGATTCTGCAATATCCTTACCCTACTTTTTCCAAGAACAGATCATTGTCCAGTAACTGCGCCATTTTTCTGGTCTGCACATCCATGGTGCTTAGTCCCAAAGACTTAACCTTCTAAAGAAGAAATGGACACATCAAAGAAGAGAACGTAAATCAGGGACAGACGTTTACAAGCGTTAGAAAAGATATCACTGATCCAAGGCATCATTGCCTCAGGATTCAGATAGAAATCACAGATGTAGCACTGCTGGGGGTACATATAGCCAAGTTTAAAAAAAATAATGCCCTAGCGCAACCCACATCACAAGAGGGAAGATGTGTGTGAATAATTCCCCAATATTTTTGTTACGTAGGCATTTATTTGCAACAAGTTGTTCGTTTGTTGGGGCTGTATCCAGTCACGAAGGTGCAGCTCAAGCTGCTGGAAGAGGGAGCAGCCCGGGTGCTGGAGCAAGGTAGACTCACCGAGAAGAAAAGCTTTGTAGCAGAGGGGTCTGTTCAGGTGCAAGGAAGCTCGGGAGACAGCGAGGCTCTAGACCCGAGAAGCGTGACTTAACTTACCCGCCCGGCTGCGGCCAGTTAGTCCAAACCCGCTCCATCCTGCGCGGCCGACAGCTCACCCAGAGACAGGGACCCTCAAAGGATGCCCCCCAAAACCCAGGACTCCGCATCCCCGCCGCCACTCACCCGCATGCGGCTACTTTATACCCGGGGGCAGCCGCTGCGCCAAGCACCCGAGGCTGGCGGCGAGGGGCCCGGCAGCCTCAGCTAGAAATCCCTGCGCTGCGGCCGGGGCTGAGCTGAGAGGACTCTGCGGGGACAGCCCCAGGGCCGCGCCCCTACCCCCGCTGCGGCCCTCAGAGGCGGCGGCCGCCTCAGCCCCTTCCCACCGCGCGCCCGAGGGAGGCAGGCGGCTACGGTGGGGGCAGGGCCGGGGCGCCGCGTTGCCAGGAGAAACGGAAGGAACCATTGTCTCAGGGGCGGGGGAGACGCTGGTCTGCGGCGTCTAGTCGGGGCGGGGTCCGCTAACGGGCGCGCGGAGCGAAGGGAAAGGGCGAGTTGCGCGTGGCACGGGCCGCGGGCCCCTCCCCCCAATTAGCGGAGCCGGGGGACCAGGCGCTTTAGTAGACAATTTATTTCGATAAACTTGCTCAATAACAAAAATACAAGTGAAGAACATTGTGTTCATTGCGTACAGTCCGCAGTAACGTTTGTCTGGAAGCCGGTGACGAACCAATCAGAAAACGAACCGGGGGCAGGGAGGGGGGGCGGTTCGTTGCAGACCCCTTTTTCCTTCATATTTGTCCCCGTCCTTCCTCGTGAAGAGGCAGCGCGGGGCGGGGGAAGGACACGGCTGCGAGCGCACTGCGGCCACGCGCGGGGAGGATGCAGCGCTGGGCCGGGCCGAGACCACCCCGGGGGGGAGGCGGGCTCCGCTGCTGCCTACGGGAGTGCCAGAGACAGCGCGCAGGGAAGGGGCGCTTCGGCCCCGCGGGAGACTAACAGAAAACCAAAAAGAAAACCCCCAGCCCTGCCGGTGGGTCCGACCGCCTGCAGGCAAAGCCGACGGGACTTGCTCGTGTTAGCTCAACAAGTATTTACATAAAATTGCATCAGGTGGTGACAGCAAGCCTTTCTGGTGACCAGATGAAGACCAAGGAAGGGGGTGTAGGGACCTAGAATAAAAATGAGCTGTCCTTCAATTTAAAAAAAAAAGTAGTAGGAGAGGGTGGCAGTCAGAAGAAGTTTACATAAAACACTCAACGACATAGATATATGGATTACCTTTGGAGAAGACTCATACGGAAACATTTGTTTTTAATGGACTTGAAAGTCTACAGATGTTTAGGCATGTTCAACATGAACGTCCTGTAGTTTAGAACTAATCCTTGTGCAAATAAAACCTATAAATAGTATTCAGCAGATTTTACAGTGATGCTCTTAGGTATGAAGAGAATGCACACGACTTTAAAAAACAAAAAGTAACAGACATAAGTTTGACAAATGATTGCACCATAGAACAGTGTTTATATACAGTTTACAAGATATGCTTTTCTGCTATAAATTAATACTGTACTATATAGTACTTAGTGACATTATTAAAAGCAACTGTTGACAACTGTCTCTTCATTTGCATGAATTAACTCTTACTTAAAAAAAAAAAAAAAAAAAAGGACCCCCCCCCCC